GTGGAGATGATAACCTATTTTGATCAAAATGAAAGAACATAGTAGCATTAAACACTGGCAATACATACACAATCACTTTAACATGAAAGAGCACTAAATGTATACAAATTAACATCAAAATCACCTGCATGCGTGTTCTAGCAAGTTCTATAGGGTAACATGTCGCGCAAGCTAATGACCTTGACAAAGAACCAGCAACCAAAGGGGCATATGGTGTTGCACCAGGCATATATTGTTCTGCAAGCCCCTCCATCCAGTTGCGGAACAGTATAGCAAGGTAAATAGATTCCCACCTGCCACAAAAAACATGAGTAACCCGTCATAACTCCATTAATATTCAGTATGATGTCAAAAATACTCTCCAACAGGTGAAAATAATGTTGAAGAAAATAGAACTCACTGTTGGTACAGCCAAAGCCAAACCAGCATTAGTCCCTCTCCACAACCTAGCAAACCCCTCCTGCAGAAGATATATTTATGAAAATAGTAGACAACACACAAAAAATGGGAAAAGAAAACCACACTTGGTAGTTGGTAACTTGTATGTTAAGATAAAACAGTAACAACTAACAAGTTTAGATTTTTACAACAAACTTATCAACAAGCTACAAAATGACTTTATTGCAATACCAACCTGGGTATAATGTTGAAGACATCTAATGTTCCTTTGTACTGAAAACATCAGGAGGACAAATTGATACAGTTCCATGGACACCAGCACGAGTGCAAGACGGTGAACATCTCAAATCAGCAAACATCTAATCCAAACATTCACAGATGACAAAATTTAGCAGAAGTCTAACATCACAAAAAAGATCAATACATCATTGTAACAATTCGTTTCTCGAGATATTAAGATAAACTAATACCGTATTTGGTCCAAATATGCCATTCGACGATAAGATTACTTAGCGGGTGGGAATAATGTACCCCCGCAGCCTGAGCTTGCAACCTTGTCTGTTAATTACACGAAACAACATGGCGAATTTCAAACCAGGAATAGACAGCAAGGAAATAATCTACGCAACGAAGATTCAAATTAAAAACAAGCAACAAAACAACAGAAATAGTAATTACTGAAAAAACTGCACCGGTATCATTACTTGACAACATCCAGCGGATTAACGATGATGGCGGACAAACAGCAGCACCGGCAGCAGAGAAAGCACGCTCTCCGATCCCTAGATTCGAATCGGGAGTAGTATTCTCTTGCTGGTCCTCATGAGCACCGAGTTCGCTCTCAACTCTGTCCGTTACCATCGGTTCCGTGATCGTCAAATCGTGCCCGTCAATTTCGACTATTGAACGCTGCTCCGAACTCATCCTGGAATCTGCGTTTGCTGCTCCGCCTCCGCCATCTCTACGCTTACTTCTCCTCTCAGACACAACCAATTAAGAGTGTGAATACAAAATCAAATGACGGAATGATTCTCAAACAGCCTAATATCAGCGCATCTTATTGACTATTTTGAAACCCTAAAAAATAATTTGAAAGGCCTTTCCAAATTCCTTGAGGAAGAGGAAATTTATTATAAAAAACGAAATAGAGTGGAGAATGCTCACCAGAATAAAATCGAGCGGCGCACAAAACTTCTGACCTTAGGCCGTGTTTGGGAATTTTTGATCTTCTAGATGGTTTAAAAAGAAAAACAGTTTATTCCCCCACTAAATAACGTGTAAATAATTCTGCCCCACTAGATGGTGGAGTAGAATGAGCAATCACAATACTAGTGAAAATAAAACTGGGCTGGTCCTTGGAAAGTGAGTAAAGAAACAAACATGGCCTTACATGAAAATTTGGCGCTGGATAATCTTCTAGGGCATTCTACTAGCGCAGAAACGCGGCAGGACTCACGCTGGCAAGTGGCAACGCCAAACGGCGAGTGATAAACCCTAATCAGGATCAATGGGGAATAATAAGGTAAAAAACCTAACGCAAGATTTTCTTCTCGTAGAATGTGTTTGGTTCACGGAATGTAAGATTATAAGTAGCAATAAATATTACAGTGAATATGATTATTGAGAATGTTGTATTTTGTGTTGGTTGGTTTAATAGGAATGTAAGATTACTGTGTTTAGTTAAAGGAATAAAAATATTTGAATGTATTTTACCAAATTGTCCTTATATATTTTTTTAACATGTTGAATGTTATTACTTAATTTTATATATTTTCTTTAAAAATTTTAAATTCATAAATTTTATTTAAAAATTGAAAAGATAAAATGTTTAATGAATGGTAAAATTTTATTTTAACCCCTAAACTTCATATAAAACTATAATTATAGACTTTTTTGTAAATCTAAGATTATGGGAATAGATTACCGGCCAACCAAATGGGGATGAGGATTCCATTCCCTCGATAATGTTGTATGCCGTGAACCAAACGGCCCCATAGAGTATGTTTGAGATTGAATTTAAAAGGTTTGATTGAAATTTAGGGTAAAGTACACAATGGTCCCTTAATTATAGAATATTATTTTATTGAGTCATTGGACTATAAAGTTAAGAAATAGCTATAGGGTAATGCTTTGTTGAGTTTTTTTATTAAAAATTAAGAAAGGTCACTCGACTAGTTAGGTATCCAAACTCATCATTTTTGTTAAAAATAAGATAATATTGAGCGGAAAGTTAACATGTTTATTGTGATTATAAAATATGATCTTAAAATCTCGCTAACGTTCATGTCATAATTTTTTTAATAGGAAACGACGATTTTGAATATATTGAATAGTTGAGTGGTCAGATAATAATTTGAGCGGAAAGTTAACATGTTTATTGATATTATAAATATGATCTTAAAATCTCGCTAACGTTCATGTCATTAATTTTTTTAATAGGAAACGACGATTTTGAATATGAGGGACTTGACAAACTCGTTATAGTTAGGAGATTAGTTGTGTACTCTACCCTAAAATTAATTCTTTTAAATTAAGAAAAAATTTGAAGTTAATAACTCATATCAAAATACACTACTAATGACACGTCAAAATAAATTTATTAAATAAATTATCTTTATCAATAAAATATTAAAAAAATTCAAGGACTTTATAATAATCTCCTATAAAAGTTAGTTTTAATTATAACTCAATGTATTTGATGAGTCAAATAACATAAAATTATTTTCTAAAAGGTCCTTGGATTGTTGTTTTGATTTTACTTTTTACTCATATAATTTTATTAATTGATGTTTAAGGACCTAAAAATTGAATATTAGAAAGTCTTTTAGGTAAACTAGATATAAAATAATTGTTCGAGAACTTATTAGATGTTTTAGCAATAATTTAATGGTAAAAATATATTAATCTTTATGTTAATATTATCACATCATCAATTTAATTAGATGACGGTGGAGTAACCATTTTATTATAATTTGATGCTATTAGTGATCATTTTGTTATTTTTTAAATTTCCAATGACTAATTAAATATTAATGACTATTTGTGTAGTTTACCCATAATAATATGATAAGAGTATAGGGACTAAACTCTGAACATGCTAAGAGTACGCTGTGGGCGAATTTCCCGAAAAATCATCCTAAACTTTTTTTCTCTGTCAGGTACCGTTCAGACTTTTTTTCTCGATCTAACATCCTTTGCGGAAAGGCGCGCTTTAGGGGCCTTAGACTGATCTGGCACCACGTTGGGTAAGGCGTGCCCCCTGAAGCGCGCCTTCTGAAATGTGTAAAAATCTGGGTATTAATTTTGTAAATATTTTTAAAATTGTACCTAATATGTAATTAATTTCTGTTAGGGTGATATTTGTGTAAAAACGTCAACTTTATTTATTTATTTTTTGTGTGAAAAAAAATTTCGACATTAAAATCTTTAAATATTCTTTTGCAAATTACTTTATAGCTCGAAAAATTTTGATTTTTGCATGAAATTTAATAATACATATAATATAGTATAGGAAAACTTTGAGTGTAAATATTTTAAAATATGAATAATTTTATAAAAGTTTTATAACTAGTATTTCTTTTTCAAAATGATGATGATGATGCTGATAAATATTTTGTGATTTAAAAAATTATAAATTTTATATATTTTTGAAAAAAAAATTGACTATATATTCTTTTTGTATTGAATTTTATTCACTTTTAATTCTTTTTTATAGCATTTTTATACTTTTAATTACAATTGATATATTAAATGAATTATTATTCATTTTTTTTAAAAAATCAATAAAAATACAATAAAAAATAATTAAAAGTGAATAAAATTCAATAAAAATGTCAACTTTATTGATTTATTTTTTGTGTGATAATATTTTAATAATGTTTATTGATTTTTAATATTAATTATTTAAAAATATAAAAATAAACTTTTAATTACAATTGATAGATCAAATGAATTATTATTCATTTTTTTTAAAATTAATAAAAATGCAATAAAAAGAATTAAAAGTAAATAAAATTCAATACAAAAAGAATATAAAGTTAATTTTTTTAAAAATATATATAAAATTTATAATTTTTTAAATTATAAAATTTTTATCATCATCGTCATTTTGAAAAATATATACTAGTTATAAAACTTGTATAAAATTATTTATATTTTAAAATATTTACCCTCAAAGTTTTTCTATACTAGATTATATGTATTTATGTAATTTCATGAAAAAATCAAAATTTGTCGAGTTATAAAATAATTTGTAAAAGAATATTTAAAGTTTTTAATGTAGAAAGTTTTTTTTCACACACAAAAAATAAATAAATAAAGTTGACATTTTTACACAAATATCATCTTAACAGAAATTAATTAAATATTAGATACCATTTTTAAAATATTTACAAAATTGATACCCAATCTTTACATGTTTCATAAGATGTATTAGGCGTAAGGCGCGTCGAAAAAACGTGTCTTTCTGTAAAGAGTGTTAGATAAAAAAAATATTTCAATGTCTGACGAAGAATAAAAAAAAGTTTAAGGTAATTTTTCGGGAAATTCGCCTGTGAGCATAATCAAACCCCATTATCAATTGCCGTGATAGGAGCGGACCGCAACCGAACAAGTCAAATCCGCGAATGTCTAGAATAACAGAAACTGTGCGGTCAATCAAACCCTAGAAAAAATTGATAATTAAAATTTCCAATTTTCATTTCATAAAAAGAAATTAATTCATTTTCCCCCCAACAAGGTCGAAATTCTCTGGCTTTACCATCGCCTACGAAATGAAATGGGATATGGAGATCGAAGAAATCGAGGCGGTTCTCGAGAAGATCTGGGACTTACACGACAAGCTTAGCGACGCCATTCACTCCATTTCGCGAGCTCACTTCCTCAATTCCATCAAAGCCCTCAGAAAATCGGACAAGAAGAAGCTTTTCAACGACGTCGGCGACGATAACCGGAACGGCTTCGTGTTCGTCAAGGACTTTAGAATCGACGATGGTGACTCCGCGATTCAAGAGGCCAAGAGTCTTAATGCTATCAGAACCGCTCTCGAGAATCTCGAGGACCAGCTCGAATTTTTCCATGTCAGTTTTGACTCCCTTTCTCTTCGATTCCTTTACCGGTTTTGGTTGCTTTGTGTTAAATTAATTTCTGGAATCGGTTGTGAAAATGGCTCAATGTAACGAAATGGAAGGAGTTATAATTCTTTTATGGGAATTGAATTTCCAATGTTTGCATTTATAGTTTTGCAAATTTGTACTTAAAATTATGTTTTGTTGCTGGGGACTTGAAAGAAATCTGGAGAAAAAAAAGGAAAAAGAAAATTTCATTTGTAGGCTGTTTGTTGTGTTTGGTTCTTTGAGAATTGTTAACCATTCTAACTGTACAGAATGAGCTATTGAAAAACGAGAAGGGAGACTTGTTATGTAAGGAACTGAGAGGGTACCCATTATGTATTATAAGATGGTATGCATGTGAATGTGTGATTGTGAGCGAAAATGCAATGAGCTAGGCAATTACTCAGCTTCAAAGTTGAGTTTTGTTATATATGTATATATAGGATGCTATGCATGTATATATAGGATGCTCTTACTCTCATTTTTACTGGAGGTAACCGTGTGCCATGTTTGATACCTGGGAACATGAGTATGGTGCTATGATCCTCTTTGTATATGAAATAAAATAAACAAGAAACAGTGAATATACTGTGTTCGGTTCTAACTCTCGAGTTCAAGTAACTTATTGTTAAATGATGGTTCTCTCGAGGCGAACAATGTTTTTTTAATATATCTTAAGAAAATGTTATGAGGAGATATGTTAGTTTTTTGGGGGCTATTTGTGTGAAGTAGCTTGTATATAAATGAGCTTTATTTGAAATTAAATTGCTTCGGTTTTGTGGATTCTGGAGAGCATGCTGTGAGCTTTATCTGAAATGAAGTTGTAACATAAAGCTTCTATGGAAATGATCTTTATCCAAAAGGAAATTGTTACATATGCTTCATGGAAATGAACTTCATCTGAAGTGAAAATTCTTTGGTTTTCTGGATTTCACAGTCTGTAGAGAATGGTGAGATGAACTTTTTATTAGGATTAGAAGCCACATTACTAAATGCGGGAGGAGTTGCTGATATGAGATTTAGTGCCAGGAACTGCACGGGTTTGCACCCATGAATGTGTTGAATCCTAATTCCGTGCTTCACCACCCAACTGAAAACTGCCCGGTTCGGATTCATTGGTTTTTTCCAGGTGTCTGTGTCATTTTTCCCAAACTTCTGTGATTCTGATCTTACCTGTTGCTTTTACATTTTATGTTTGTATTGCAACAGTTTATCGGATATATGCAATTAGCGTGTCACATGGATCTCTCATGTTATGACTTATGTATGCCTTTTACAGACTGTACAAATCCAGCAGCAGGTAGAGAGAGATGCTGCCATTGCACGATTAGAACAAAGCCGGATAATTCTTGCATTGAGATTGGCTGAGCATCATGGAAAGAAGTACAAAGTAATCGATGAAGCTCTAGCTTTTTTCGGAGATGTGCACGATGCCAGCCATTATGTCTCACCCGAAAACCTTTACTGTACAGCAAACAGTCCATCTGGACAGAATCTAGTGTCACACAAAGGGAAGTACTCTAATATGCTAATCAAAGCTCTGGTTTCTAGCTTCAAATATGCAAAGAAATCCCTGAACTTTGACCATATGGGTGGGATACTAAGCAATGCAGCTATATTCACAGTCAGCATGATAGCAATGATGCATCTCCAACAGTTTGCTCTTTCAGAACAAGAAGATAACATCAACAACCAGAGAAAGAGTTCTCAACTCGAAGGGCCTTCATCCTACGATGATTCGAGCCACTTGGATGTGTACTTAGCCCGGGGTTAAGGTGAAGGCCTTAGAAGAAAAAGGCTTAGAAGTTAATTCAAGGATAGGAGGCCGCCATGCCGTTTTTCGAAACTCGAAGAAGCTTTGCTGTCACTCAGTTCCTCCCAACAGGAGTTTCAAGATTTTCGCTGAGCATATTAGCAAAGAACAATCCTTTTTTTTAATCTTCTAATATATTGTTCTGTAGTTAGAGGTGCTGTGAAAAATGCTGATTGTTCTTGCTGGTGTCTGGTTTTTGAGGCTGATTGCTTGTTCAAAATGATAGTGAAGCCGAAGCAGATGCTCTGCCTCTGGCTCCTCTTGATGTATTTTTAATATTCTATATTATAAATATAATGCTGTGTGGATTTTCTTAAATATATCCTTTAAATGTCTCTACCTTCTAATTACTATGATTATTGTCTCGATAATCATATTTGATGTAATAATTTTAAATTATTCGTAGTCTTTTACATTTACAGATTAATGTATAATTATATTATTCAAATTAACTTATTTATAATATTAGAATAATGAATATAGTAGACAATTTTAGGGTAAAGTACACAAATAGTTCCTTAACTATAGGGTATTGTTTTATTAAGTTCCTCTAGTATTAAAAGTTATAAAATGGCCCTCAGACTATAAAATGTTGCTTTGTTAAGTTCATCAACTATTAAAAGTTACAAAATGGTAAACTGACTATTTATTATATTCCAAATTCGTCATTTTTCGTTAAAAAATTGGCGGTTATTTAAGTTGGACATTACCATGATGACTGAGATATAGTAATGGTTTGAGATTATGAGATCGAATTTTATCATATCATAGTCAACATTTTAACTTTCACTTTAGAGTATCGTTCATTTTTAACAGAACATGACGAGTCTGAAACTTAATGGATAATCAGTGTCCATTTTGTAACTTTTAATAGTCGAGGGACTCAACAAAACAACAACTTATAACCGGAAGATCATTTTATAATCTTTAATAAACAATGAACTTAATAAAACGGTATCCTATAGCCAGAGGACCATTTATGTAATTTACCCATAATTTGACATAATTAACATTATCTAAATTTCTGAGCCCACTCCCCCACCACATGCTTGCCATGTACATTGTCACTTGTCAGATCTTGTGTGGTGTCACACTTGAACTCTTTCACGTGTGATAGAGTAAATGTCAGCCCAACCACTTGACAAGCATCACATTCTTCTCAGCATTCCAGGATCAATCACTAATTCATGGCCCAACCTCATTGTCGGTAGGTAGTGGCCGCCTTGTATGCTTGTACACTCTTAGCAACTTTCAACCTCCGACTGTTCTGCTCCGACCGACAGGCTTGCAAATGCATATGCCTGGCCATGCGCCCTGCGGCAGGTAATATATTACTCTCGAATGAATATGTCCAGTCCACGTGTCCCGCGATGAGTCCAGTTGACACTTGATCCTGATGTCCACGACGACTCTACTTAATGGTCATTTACCCCCTGAACAGCCACGCTGAAAAACCACACCCTGACGATGAAATCAAAGCTGATAAATTACTGCAGCCCTACAAATACATAGTAACTATACATGCAGATATAGTATATAACCGTCAGCTGTTTCCAGTCTGACAGGCGGCGGTCCGTCGCCATGCATCGCTCCAAGCGGCTATACTTAACTTTCTAACTTACTTTAAACCTTTTCATTAATTTCACCTGCCAAAAGGACCAGCTGCACCAACATTACGTAACATGATACACATACATTACCAGCTTTCAATAATGTAAGCCAAAAGGTTGAAGTGTTTGTCGAGTTAATTTAATAAGATGAAATGGTAGATTTTCTTTAATAAAACTAGATATTTATATTTTTATATTTATGAAAGAAATAAAACTAGAATAAAAGAGTCGCCTTATAATATATCATTGTAATAGTTTATTTTAAATTAATAAGTCAAAAACTAGTATTTTAATTAATAAGAAAGAAGCAAATATTCCTTGAACGGAATTAACCAGCATCAGCTTGTAAATTAATGATGATCTTAGTTTTAGGGTTGATTAAGAAGCAAGGGATAAGATCAGTTGACATATTAATTGTGGGCAAAAGCTGCCCATCCATTGTTCTATCAGAAAGAGAGAGATTTGTTGATGATGGCACCTCCAAAAGAGGAAATGGAAGTGCCGAAAAGGGCATCACATTTCCCGGGATTAAAATTTGTTCAAAGCAAACAGGAAAAGGTTGAGAAAGAAACATTTGGATGTCTTTTTTATGTTTAAATTACCATTTGGACAGCGAAAAAAGATGTTACATATTACTGGTAATTAGTGTTAGATTAAATGAAACTAATAGAAACAGTGAAAATTATGTTGTTTTCCTTAAAAATATGAATTCCAGGTAGGTTAAAACCTTAGTTTTAGTTCCACTGCACCAAAATAGGTTTATAACGACGTCTTTTTAGGCTTATACCGACGTTTTAAAGCATCGTTAGTAACTCTTCCGAACAAGAAAAAACGTAGTTAAAACAAACGCCACAACCTTTTGTGATGTTTATTTAAAAAACGTCACTAAAGTTACAAAAAAAATTCCCAACGCCACTAATATTATCATTTTGGTGACGTTTTAACCATAAATTCCGCGATACGTAAACATTTAACGATGTTTACTATAAAAACATCGCTAAAATCGCCGCTAAAAACTTACTTTAATGTAGTGTTCGAATCTCGAGAGATGCAAAAAGTCGAGGAAAATAAAATGATACGGATCAGGTTGTCCATGAGCTGAATTGGAATGTGGTTCAAAATTTTTGCGTTTAATTGTTTGCAAGGCCCCTATCAAAGTGGAAACTTAGCAAAATAACCCCCGGCCCCTCCCATCTTTTGATTTAAATACTACTTAATATTCTATCTACGCAGAAGCAGCTAAAACGACATTTGTACGGCATAAATTGTTTGGAAATTTAGGTTGTGGTCTACGTTACACGACTCCCTTTATTATTACTTGCACAATATATACATATATATTTGTATAACTACCTATATTCAATATATTGATCGACTAATCCGGATCGGATACTATAAAGGCAAGGGCAACCCTCGTAACCCAGTTTTGCTCTATTTACAATCGTTAAGCTTCAAACATCTGACCTTGCTTAAGGGATCTAGTGTCTCATCCCACAAGACCAATTGGTTGTTCGTTGAACAAAATATATTATATAATTAAGAATTAATTAGATAAAAGATATAATTATTATAACTTTATGCAATCCTCTTTGAGTAATAGTGAAGCAAGATTGTTAGCCACCACTTTCCAATTATTTCATCTCGTTTTCTAATTCGTTCCTGCCTCAACCCTCGTGCCATGTCATGTAAATTGTGGAACTATTATTAATTATTTATATATTTTTCTGAATTTTCAAATATTTTGTAAATTTAATTGAGACATGGGTAAATTGCATCGTCGAACGTACGAGGTTCATGTTTTAAGCGTCCAGATTACGTTGAATATATACTTATATCTTGTACGACATTAATTCTTGACTCTAAAAATTCTTGTCCACAATTTTCCCACATCTCAAGCAACCTTTTTAATAATTAATTTTACCTATATATTGCACTAATATATTAATAAAATAACAATAATATAGTAAGTACCTGTTTATAAATTGGTTACGTATACATAGTGTGTCAAAACATGACTAAATATTAATTGATAAAATTTTAACTTAATTACAATATTTTAATTTTAAAAATTATGAGATTTAAAATTTAAAATCATCATACATAACAATTAGTTTTATTTTATTTGTGTACATTTCCGTTAAAATTTATCGTATTTAGTATCTAAACTATCAATTTTGACACGTTTTAGTATCTAAACTTTCAATTATTTCAAAACTTAACATTAATTTTTAAATAGTGATACTAAGATGAAACAAAAACTAAACTTTAAGTACGATTTAAAAAAATTAAAAGTTTGGGTATTAAAATAGACAAAAACTAATAGTTTAAGTACTAAACATTTAACTTTCCCTTAATTTATTTAAACTTTATTATAATTTAATTAGTTTAATATGATCTTATTTAAGTTTATTCAAATATTAGATCTAAATAATATAGACATTTTTACCCAAATATTATAACATTACCTGTCAGGCACCGTTTCCCCAAATATTACCGATCTAGCTAGCACCCTTTTTGACAGAGTGATAATAAGACGAGTTACGTGACAAGGCGGCTCGTGAGTGTGAGTCGATTAGGGCCGAGGTGGAGGCTCTAAGGCAAGAGATGAGTGAAATCGAGGCACCAGGAAGGAACCGAGATGGGCAAGTCCAAGTACATTCCAATGGTGTGACGAGGGCGTCGCTAGGTTCGGTGGGGGAGAATGTCACGCCCCTAGAGATTTGGCTCGAGACATGCTCGCTTGAGACTAGGACAGAGGTTTTCAAGAAGGTGTTGGACGTGACTAATCCATTAGACTTGGCCCAATCCATAGAGAAAACTAAGGAGGCCATTCACATTGAACTTGCAAATATGGAAAATGACATCATATTAGAAGATGATCACAAGAGCTTGGAAAATATGGAAGGGAATGATATCATATCAAAGAGGATTACGGAGGAATCTTTTCATATCCAAGGAGATCTTCAATCAAAGGAAAGAATGAGACTAATTGATATGTATGGATGCTAATTTGATTAAGTTTCCTTAGATAAGAAGATTTGTAATTAATAGGGCTCATCTTAGCCATTGATCTAGATTGATCTTAGGCGTGCATTGTAAGGGGATTCAACTATAAATAGATGCCTTCCCCATCATTTGTACTCACTTCACTTTTCATTTCATTTGGTGAAATACAAAGAGCATTCACCAAACTTTCTCTCTTGTTTGTGTGAGCTATCTCCTTCTCAAGTTCTTTTGTGCTTCCACATTGTACTAAGCCTTCTAGCTTAGTGTTTTTCAGCCTGACTTAGGTGCAAAATGCCCAAGAGTAGTTCCGAAGCATCTAAGGTCGCACGTTCCTGAGTTTAAGGCTCCAAGTGCGTGACAAGTGGGCCTTCTAGGGGAAATGTTGACATGGCACCATGTGGAAGACGGGTTTCAAGGGGGGTGCCTTCCAGGGTTTTCTTGCCACATCAAATTTCCTAAAAGCATTTTAAAAAAGTATGCTTTAAAAAATTTAAAAATAAAACTATAGGGACTAACATCGTAATTTAATTTTTTATCTCTATAACTAATGAATCTACTTATACACTATTGT